GAGCCTCCCCTCAATATCTTCATCCCCCCCCTTGTCATATTAAATGAACTTTCCCTAAGAAAAAGAAAAAAATGGACAAATAAATAAACTGAAAAAAAAGTTGACCCCCAACCCCATCAAAAATGTTACAGTCAAACCAGGTCAAGCGTACCCCCCAAGAATCCATTAATAAATTTTATTATTCAAAAGTTGAATCCGTTGCTAGTTGTAGATTTCAGGTTGATCTCTGCATTCTTGTATGTGTAATGAGCCGTGAATTCACACGCGAGGCAGTTATGAAACTTCTACCAGCTCCATTTTCCCGAAATTGATGTAAATGTCTTCTAAGAAGCTTAATCCATTCAAAGATTTCCAATCTGACCAAATACAGAGAAGTTCTCGTAAAATATTCAATGTTCATTATGCATGCAGAAATGCCGCTTTGAATTTGACACCAGTTACGGGAACGACTAATGGATTCATTTTTCAAATAATCAATTTACTGATAGAATCTTGGGGGGGTACGCTTGACTTGGTTTGACTGTAACTGGTCGTTGTAGTCGTGTTTCACTAAACCTCGATTTTAAGATTGTAAGCTGTTTATATACGAGCGTAATTGATTCTCTCTGATCCCAGCAGATAATCGAGTTGGCTTTGCCCTGATGGCATTCCTGGTTCTAGAAACGTCTGTATTATACAATAGACGAATTTTGTCGTGCTCCCATCGCCGATTTCAGCAGTATGATTCTAGCACGATCTTTGCAAAGGTTTTGCGACGGTTTAGTTTTGCTCGATACGTCGGAGGTATCTTTAATTTCACCAAACTCGCCACAGATTCCATTGAGAAAAGAATCCACAAAATTCCTCACATATAAAACGGCCCGCAAGTGCCCTCTTGAATGTAAGCGAAGCACACATTCTCCATTTGGGGAACTTGCACGTCGCTCTTACCAGCGAAAAGAACAACGATTGAACAAATCAATAAAACAAAGAACAACACGAAATGTTATTAAGTAACCCTCTCTGTCTTCACACTTCCAAGATCATTTATATTTCCTGTACTTTGATGTGTTTCTGCATAGCAAGGCGGAATGGGAGGCGAAAAGGGAAGTTGTGCGCATTCGAACGTGTCACCATTGTCGTTTGTATCACGATAGTACTCTTGTCCCCTCTCACTTTACATTAGAACTAGAGGCGGCCATCACATTTCATCTTTTCGAGCTCGTTTAACCCTTTTAAACAAATTCAAAGGAACAACAACCTCTCAAGAAGACCCCTAAAGCCAGTAACTGACCCGAGGTCAACTTTAATTTGACAATTTTTTTACGACGAAAGGTTACATTCAAAATGTGAACTACAAACATTTTTAATGTTTGCACAAATTCATGGTTATAAATGATACTCAAACTGCATGCTTGGACTAAAAAGTGGTTCATTATAACAGTAGTGCAGGGTTTCTGGTAATATACCGGCTTATAAAAAACTACAAAACTAAAACAGCGTCCGAGTCAGTCAACCTCTGGCTGACATCATCTTAGGAACCGCCAACAGTACAAACCAAGTTTGTGCGCTTTAGAGTTACTTATATCATGTTAAATATACTTTAGGTCTCTATGTACTGGCTGGCAACGGGAATGATTGATTAAATACCTGATTCAGATACATTTAAATGTCGATAAATAACTGGCAAGCTACTCGCCAAATGCATTGTCCACGTGCAAAAATAACGAGAGTGGATAGAAACTGAACTAGCGTTTCTAGTAGCTTCCTCCTGTTATCGCCGGCCCCAAGGCGGTTTCTACCACTTGGAGTCGGCCTCATGTGTTAACATTGGGTTCTGACTTTTCAACTTTTTTATGTTACTACACTAATAAGTTTGGTTTTAATTTTATTAATGACACTCTAATGAAAACAGTCCTAACCCTACGACTAACATTGGAATAACACAAACACTACGACTAATGCTATATGTATTTAGGAGCTGTATGAGTTCATGATTTTTTGTGCATTCCGTGTCTCGGGAGGAACAAACCTCCTACTAGCGGCCTCCGCCTCCACAACTTTATATGCGGATCTTAATCGCTTAAAAGACTTCGTTTCTGCGTTTCCTCGTTCCTAATTTCTGTTTTTGTTAGGACGGGGTTTTCAGTTTGGGGTTCTCGTTTTGAGGATTGTTCTCGTTTGTGCGGTTTTTGTGGTCTCCGCCGTGGTATTTTAGGGTTATCTTCAACACGAGACTGTTGGTGCCCATACTCAACAATAGGCGTGAGGGAGACAGGTGAGAATAGACTACTATTCAGACTAAATATAAGTTACAAGCTCCTTGAATTTATTAAATCATCAAGCCCCATTTCTAGCTACAAAAAGCGGTTAGTGTCGTTCATCTTCTTTATGTATGTGAATGTTTACCTTCTCTGCCCTGGTTATTTGCCTCCTTCACAGCAGGAATTGAACTGTTATCATCAGGAATCTTTTGTGTCGGCATGTTTTGTTCTGGACTCTAATGTAAAAACAGAACAGGCATATGAGAAATTTAAGATCAAAGGAAGGATTAGCTCAGTCGGTAGAGCGCTTGACTGCAGAGCGGGAGGTCGCGGGTTCAATTCCCGGGACCGGACCAATACTCAGCGTCTTAAAATAACCGAGAAATAAAGGTACTCCCTTTGCACTGCAAGCGGCTGGACCTTCGCGTGGCTCGGATGACCAAGTAGAATGGCGGTCCTGTCTCCAGCTGGAGACGTAAAAATAGTGCCCCTTCTTAGTACTTTCGTGCTAAATACATTGACACTCAAATAAAGCGCATTTTTTCATCATTTTTTTTTCTTATTATGATGCACCATTCACTTTGACTCCGATCCACTAATGTAATGACCTTTGCACAGGTTGTTCAGTTGTTCAGTCAACAAGACTTATCAAGGAGGTACACTTACCCGGAAATCATATTCAAAGTATTCACAAAAATTAGAAATTTGGTAAGCAACACCACTTTGAAGGATTACCATGACGTAGGTGGAAATAGTCTGCAACGGGCACAAGGTTATTAGGTGTAATATAATTATTATCCAACCCTTCTTTCCGTAAAAAAGACTTTAAACTGAATCACGTAAAGAACCTGCAGCTATTCAATGGTGCAGTGAAGTCCTGAACAATAATAATCGCTTCGCTCACCTTATTGCTTTCATGCTGTGGTACCTCTCGATCACAGGATACCTTGTCTGTTATGCATGTCAGGGGGGACTTCTCTATTTCAGGCACCATGGCCTCCTGATTA